CCGAAGGTGTACTGAAAGCATGTGCTTGGTGCATACCCTCCCCGAGGGCTCGTAGTCGCTGACACTATGCAACAGGAAATCGCAACACAGTAAACTGTAAGGCCAAATCCCGGATCCAAAACCTAAACCTCAATGCTCACGACACCCTTTCCAATTAGGACCCGCACGCGAACAAACACACACACACACACACACACACAGAGACAGAGACAGACTTTCACTACTTGCCAGATAGCGGCGAATCAGGGCATCTTCCTGTAGTGGTCGTACTGAAAAGGGCTTAGACTCATGTGGAGGCTTCTTGAGCCCTAAACCCTAAGCTTCTTAACATTGTGGGTTTTGTCATTGGCAGCATCATGACAAGGATCCTGAAGGTTGGATCACTACCATAGCTAGGCTGTGGCGAATCCCTGTACCCCACAGGCTTTAGGTTTCAAGCGTTTCAATGTAAGACTGAACCGTACGTGCTAGGGCCTATGCTAAAACTCTTGTCGTGACCTGTGGGTTCGCCAATCTTAAGTTCCATGATAGCAGATAGCACCTACCTGCGAGTATAAGGCAATGTTTTTTGGTTTTACTGTCCACTACCGCGTAACAGGACAGCAGTGCATCTCACATGATGTGTGCTGCTGTTTCAAGCTTCGAATGTTTAAGGCCCCGGAAGAACCCTGAATAGACCCTACTGCCTAATTGAGAACCCTTTTCCCCTAACCCCTATTCTAAACCCCATTCCCCTCAACCCGAAACCCTAAACTCCTAAGCCCTATACCCTATTCCCCTAATCTCTAAGCCCTAAACCAAAATCCCTAAAACCCTAAACCCTATTCCCCTAAACCCTACATAAGTCTAATGGTTGAGGCCCTCAAAAGGTGCCCTCAGACGCAGACCCCGAGCCCTGGGAATGTGAAACCCTGCACACGGAAAGGCTGTCTCAGCTAGTGTTTTTTTTGTTGTTTAAACGGCCCTTTTTCAGCTAGTGGGGTTTAAGGGTTAGGGTTTCAGAGAAAACATTTAAGGTTTTGGATTTAAGGATTAAGGCTTGCGTAGGATTTACAGGGCTTATAAGCTGCAGGGTTTGGGGTTTCAGGTGTGCAAAAGCAGGCATTGGGCTCGGTTTCGGCTTTGGCTGTTTCTAATTTTTAGAATGTTTCGCATAGCTTGAAGGCTTTTCGGGACCAAAGGTTTAGGGTCCATGGTTGAGGGTTTCGGAGAATAGGGTTTAACGCGTTTTTTGCTTAAGGCTCTTTGGGACGAAGATTTATAGGGCTTCACGTTTGAAGGGCATTCAGGGCATTAGTTCCAGGGCTTTGTGCTTGAAAATGCCTCGGGTAGCATTTATGTCCCTGCTTCCAGGAAGTCTCTGAAGGGTCTTCGTATTCATGGTTTCAGACCCAGCTACAGTATGCTATGTACCGCTTAAACGCGGCATGACCCAGACTAAAATGACATGTACATGTCGTAGTAGTGTCAGGCTACCTTTCTCAGTTCAGGATTAGGGTGTTACGCAGACCGTTTGCTCTGGCGGCAGTCCCCCCAGAACAGCATTTCTCCTAGGACCTGCTCTTTTCACGACCGGGGTTCCCGCACCCCCCAAGTACCCTTTAATAGAGCCCTTATGGTCCTTAATAGTGGGTATGTAAGGTACAATAGAGTGTAGTTGTGCTGGTTGTACAGAGGGTTTGACAAAGGGAATTGAGATAAAAAGGCTCACGATGCTCATTGCAAGGCTTTTAGCATTGGTTTGCGTGAACGAGTGTGTGTGTGTGTGTGTGTGTGTGTGTGTGTGTGTCTGTGTGTGTGTGTGTGTGTGTGTGTCTGTGTGTGTGTGTCTGGTTGGAGCTTGTTCGTCTTTCGTAGGTTTCCTCCTAATGGGTACTTTCATAGCTGCAAAAACCTGATAGACTCCATAGTAGATCCCTTTCGGGGGTTCATGTTTAGAATCCTACAAAGTAATCCCATAAAGGAACTACTATGGAGCCTATGGGTAGATATGTTCACCCTAAACCCTTATAGAGCCCTTTACAGGAACCCTTATGGTACCATTGTAGTAATTAACCCTTCAAAGGAACCCTGAGGTACCCCAAGGTTTGAAAAACAACTTTCGGGAATTTGGAGCTCTGGGCTCAAGGGTTGGGGAAGTCAAGGGCTCAAGTCAAGGCTGCCCCAAAACCACCTCAACCTAAGAACACATACTATAGGGGCCTTAATAATTAGAACAGGGTTCCTTTAAAGGGGTCTATCTGGGCTACTTTCAGGGCTTTTGTAAGGAGCCAATATAGGAGCCTTAATAATTAGAATAGCCTGTTGCGGCCGATTATAAAATTAGAATAAAGAGCCCTCATAATAGTACAGGTTTTTATTTTGGCCCCTATATATTACTCTGTAAACTCCAAACTGTCAAAATGCGAAGTTGTAAAGCCTATAAACCCAAACCCGAAGTCTTAAACAAAGCCCAAACCGCTTCACCGAATTCAAATCAAAGACCAGCATCTTGCACTGACAAATATACACCTTGACTGCAAGCACCGGCAAAAAACTTTCGCTATTTTCACAGTTCTACTTCTCCTGAATACGACTTTTGCTATCCAGCACAACAGGGCTATTTCGACTGGACAAGTACTAAATGGCAGCTTTCGGGAATAGCCACTGCCAGAGAAACTGCTTCCGCCATCACCCCTTTGGGGTTCGGCGGGTGATGACATGATTTGAGGACGAGTCTTGGCTGATGCCTGCTCCAGGCAAGGCGTCGGACGCAAAGCGTCATCCCTGAACACATAACTTCAAACGGTGTTCCCCAAATCTCCGGTTGAAAATGCCCTCTAGTGCGTCTGAACCTTAAACTTATGAAACCCCGTTCGCCCCACGGCTGATTGTGGCCTGGTCCCTGCTCCTTACATGGACATTGTTAAGCCAAAGAAAGGGACCAGCAGAATTAGGATAGGGTTTTGGACTGTGTTATTGCATAGTTGCAGAGGGGGTATGATAAGTGAATGCGGTTACGAATTGGGAACCCCTTATTATCTGGAAACTCCTTCCTTCTCCACACGATACTGCTATCATCGTCACCAACCTCACCCTCTGGATGTTGATCTTAAGCATATCTCTAGCACCGCTTCAATATACTGTAAGACACCGAGTTGGAAAGAGGTTCATGCTAGGAAAAACTTAACAAAAAAGGACGCACACACACACAGAGACCTCTGTTTATTGATTTGCACACGAGTGGCCAGTCGCTCCAGTGTTCAGAGTTTGTGTCAAGGCTTATTGCAGCGAAGAGAGAGTAGTGAAGAGTTCAGGTCGTGACATACCCTGAGGCTCTAAGGACTCACATTTTGAGGCTTTTGGGCCCAAAGACCATACTGTATAAGGCTTTTGGGCTACTTTGAGCCTTAGGGATAGGCTTTAAACTTAACCTTACACCGGAAACCCAATGACTCGGCACAGGGCTTCTGAGTCCCGTGAATGCCAGCGCCTTGGGGCTCCAAGAAGCCTCCTCAGAGAGGTTTAGGGTTACTGTTGATGATATAAATCCTGCATTACCTTAAGAACCCTAAACTATGGGAGTTATGGTATATTCCTTATTATGGGTCATGCAGGATTTATATATTATATCATCAACCCTAGGGGTCAGGGGGTTTAGGGTTCAGGGCAACAAGCTCGGAGCATGGAGCTGCTCGGCATGTCGGGCGGACGCAACAACCGTGAACGGTTATGTTTCAACCCGTTCCTGGTGCCTCGAATGCTAAACTTTCAAGCAAAAACCCCACACCCGAAAACCCCAAACCCCCTGATGGCCGTAATCTTTCTAAAGCCTAAAACCAAGCCCGCGATCTCAGCCTGAGGTCCTCAGAATGCAACGGGCTTTCAAAAAACACGCTCCATAGGATGAGAGTGCACGCACAACCGAGCCTCGTTGGGATCTTTCATCGTCTGTCTGTGAAAGGCTTCTATACTGAACTTAGAACCGTAGCAACACTTATAATTTTAGCTGTTTCTCAGGGATTAAAATATGTCTAAGTACCCGTAAGGTTTAGGATTTAGTGCTTCAGGGCTTATGGTCTTAGTTCGGGACTGCTGGTGCTCGGGTTTAGGGCTTTATAGTTTGCTTGGGGATCTTGTTGTTTGAGGGCTTCGGGTTTGTGTCTAGCAAGCACCCAAGATCGGAACCAGTTTAAGCTAAGACTGTAGTTTACCAAACCCTAAACCCTCTCTCTCTCTCTCTCTCTCTCTCTCTCTCTCTCCCAGGCATTCGAAACGTCAAGCCCGGTTGCAGGACACAGACCCTAAACCCTAAAGCCTAAAGTGTCGAACCACCCCGGGAGCATGAGGGAACAAACGACAGGCGGGTACTTGCGGTTGCACAGTCACGTCTTCAGAGAAGGTAGGGTAACCAGGATCCCCGAAGAATAATACTCCCTTCACACGGGGTATGCGATGACTCTTCATGCAAAAGAATGGCTCCAAGACGGATTCTCCGCGTCCGGGGCCATACATGAAACCGGAGGACATTGATCTCCGGGCCATGCACGATCGTGTTGGGTTTGACAGGACCAGTACTGTCACTTGGTATTGTTGCGAACCAGGAGAAGAGACTGGTGGGATCAGTGGACCCTGTAATTTAACCCATATTCCCTTATAGAACCCTTATAGATCCCTTTAAGGACCCCTTTTAAGGAACCCCTAGGCCGTTAGGAGTAGTTTTAGTGAGCAGTACTGAAGCTTGCAAGAGTCTAGTCTGGACCTCATGCGTCAAATGTACAAGGTTAATCCGCAGTTTGGGGGTTCTCACAGCCTCCGACCTCCTAAGTTTCTGCAGCCGAAGCCGATCTCCTCTGATACAACGAGCTCCGCATTTTAAATATTTAGGCGGGAAGAATTAAATCAAGAAGCGGGAAAGGGATTCTGAGGCATTTGATGAATGCTGGCTATATGCTTTCGCCTGTTGGATTCAGGGTGCATCTCGGTTGTGCTGCGAAAGCGCGGGTTCGGGTTGTGCCACTTCACCTTCCAGTGACTCCAGTGGTCATCTTTATATGCCTGGGCGAGCTAAGGCTTCTGCAGAGCAGAATCGAGAATCCGGGACTAGCGTTTACGATTTCTCGTGTAAGGGAGGTTTTCAAAAGCATGAAACAAGGCACCGCAACCGCGCCTTGTAGTGGCACAACGACAGCAAGAGCAAAATCAGCAACAGCAACAACCACAGCAACAGCAGCAGCAGCAGCAGCAGCAGGACCAGCAGCAGTAGCAGCGGCAGCAGTAGCAGCGGCAGCCGCAGCAACAGCGACAGCAGAGCTGCAACAACGAAGGAACAAGAAGCAGTGGCAGCAAAACAGTCGTCCTACCACCTGAAACGCGAAACCACAAGATATCCTGGAAATCGAGGTCGGCCAGCCACATTAAGGCCAAGTCGAGGCTGTAGAACTCAAGCGGACCTCAACCACAGTACCCTTATTTGGCTACCTGGCATCTGTTCTAAATACTCCTTGGCCTCAGCTGATTCACTCCGACGTTTTCGGGGCAGGTATATAGGGTCTAGGGAAGTAAGTTGCAGTACCTGCCAAGACTGTCAAATCCCTAAACCTTCAAAGAAGGTTAACTCAGCAGTACAGGCAACCTCAGAAGCAAGCGCCACATTCCTATGGGTAATCCAACGTGCGAAACGAGATTCGTGTTCCCACCTTGGTGACAAAGCAGAGTCTGAAGAAGGCTTCAGACGAAAATTTGCACGCAGGTGCAAACAACACTCCCACCTACTGGTCAGGCCCCTAGTAGCCTCCCAAGCCCTGAGTTCACCATGAAAACCGCCTGAAATCCTCAAATCCTAGATATTCGGAGCGCCCCTCTCAGCACAGAACCTTGTGGGTTAGTAGTAAGGCTCCGTCATCCCCTACGCTTCCAAGAACCTTTTAGTCAGGGCCCTAGACCCCTTAAGGACCCAATAATAAGCTTCCTGCAAGAATAGCTCCTTAAACTCCCCTAAACCCCAAACCCTCAAACCGCTAAACCCTACACCCCTTTTGCAACAGGGCCCGGAAGTTGGACCCTGGAAGCCGTTCGCAGCAACCCCTAAGCCCTAAACCCCCTGAAGGGTTCCTGAGGTGCGCACGCGTACCGCGAGCTTGCAAAGACATCTCCGATGTGGGAGCCGCACTCTGAGCCATTCTCAGAGGCGCTCTGGACCTCTTTACGGTTTTTGGGTTACCCATGGGCCCCAAAGTAGTTCCTTTTTGGGACTACCTTATAGGATTCTATATATGAATCCCAACAAGGAACTACTTTGGGGCCTATGGGTAGTTTGTTTTAATTGGGGGTGTGTGCTATTCTTATATCAGTCAGTTTTAGGGTTTAACTGGGTGTGCTGTTTAGAGAGGGTCCAGTTTGGTTTAGTTGGGTGTGTTCCATGACGATATCTCAATCAGTTTAGGGATTAGGTGAGTGTGCGGTTTCAAGGTTTCTAGGGTTTGGTTTGTTTCAGCTGGGTGCTTTCTGATTACTACATCAATCAGTTTAGGGCTTAACTAGGTGTACGGCTTTTGGGGTTTAGGCCTTAACTGACTGGTGGCCTTTATACTGTATCACTCAGCTAAACCAGTAATAAGTAATATGAACCATGTTACCGTATGTTGCTGAGATTCTTAGTTTGTTGCACAGTTTTAATTTGCGATGTAGTATTCAGGGCTTGAGGGTTTAGGGTTTGCCACAGTGCCCAAAACAGTTAGAAGCGAACTTGAAGGGTATCTTATACTCTGACTACTTAACCTAAACTTTCAACACGGGTTCCCAAGCCTGTTGCGAGCAGGTAACATGATGCACGATGCATCTACTTGCAGTCTCTTATGCCTGGGGCTTTCATCATCAAAGCTCTCAGATTGTCGGACAAGTCCTTGCTGTCTGCCACAAAGGCAGTTCTTGAATGAGGTGTAGGCATGTGGTTGACGAATCGGCAACTCCCTAATGGCTTTTTGAGGGAATCCCTAAACCCTAAACCACCCGCCGCAGATTTGTGAAGGACATGTGTGTGTGTGTGTGGGCATATATATATATATATGTGTTTGTCTGTGTGTGTGTGTGTTTGTGTGTGTGTGTGTCTTTCCCTTGTGCTTCGAAAGTCTGTTAGAACTGTTTCATCATTAATCTCGTGCTCAAAGCGCAATCACAAAATTTCCCCAAGACTTGTAACCGCAGGCTGAAGCCCTAAACCCTAAACTTTAGAGCCCCCAAACGGGTACCGATACACCCTATCGTCGCCTTGCGCAGCATGCCGACCACTTCTTCGAAGAGAACCTGGCGTTCACGATAAGCCACAAGGGTATCATCGGGTTAAGGGTTTAGGGAAGCATACATGACGTGCAATGGCCCTGATGATACATGGGTAGTTCTCTAAACAAGGGTCTCTTTTAGAGTATTTTTTATGCAGGTGCCGTAATTACTCTTTTGGGGGCCTAAATGGGACTCTGATATTAGAGAGCTACCCACATCATACACTCAGACATCAGGAAAATTTGCTGACCTCCACTTTGGTTTCCAGCCGCCAGACGTCCAAAGCCTGCGCTGCGCTCAGAGGATACGGCGTTGGCGGCATGGGACTTAACAGGTGCTGAACCCCTACCTGGACCCCACATAACCGACCTGTCAGGGTTCCCCAGTATGACTTCTTTTTATAAGTCCTAAAAAAGGTAGGTTATTCGGTGTCAAGGTAAACTCTAAGCCGTCAAAGCTTCTTGTGCGGATCACGATTTTTAGCAGTAGCAGATTCGAAAACAGTCGCAGTGGCAGTGGAAGCGATACCCGCAGCAGTGGCAGTAGTAGTAGTGGTAGTAGTAGTAGTAGTAGTAGTAGAAGTAGTAGTAGTCGTCGTCGTAGTAATAGTCGTAGTAGTAGTAGTGCTAGCAGTAGCAGGAGCTCACTCACCCAGTCACCGGCTCTGAGGCATCCAAACTGTCCATGTCCCGTCGTCAGCAATAGCAGTAGTTGGCACTAGACTGAACTTAGACGTCTAGCAAAAACATTACTTGTTAGGGTTTTAAGGAAACAAAGGTTAAAAAAGAACAGTTCCAAGTACCCCTAAGAGCAAGTGCAGCAGCAGTGGTAGTGAAACTCCTCATAAAGGCTCACGCGCCGCCCAAGGGCCATGAAGGCGTGAGCTCACAATCGGATGGTCTGGGTGTTTAGGATTTACGGTCTACGGCTGAAGAATCGGAAGAGCATATCCACCTGCCGAATGAACTTTTGTTGCTGTACCATACTGTCCTTGAGATCTTGATATTATGTCTGTGTTGACAGGTGTTGTGGTGCTTTTGTGAGGCGGGAAATTGTGCTGCACCTCACACGTTCCAGGAGACTTGTTGAAGTCTCTGCATTTATGCGAGAGTTCAGTTTCATACATAAGGCCTGGAAACAGTGAAGGAACGTGCTTCAGGGAAACCCTCTGAAAACGTGGCAGCCAAGATTGTTGGCGACTTGCCAGAGAACGGTACTCAGTCCCACAGCCTGACCTCTGAGTATAAAACAGGAACTCAATCCTTGTAGAAGCCCTGGCAGACCATGTACAGCCCTGGAGAGAAATTATATGAAACCCGGGTAGACCGTCGCAGGCATTTTCCGAACCTCAAGCACCACTCCCCTAAAACCACCGAAAACACAGTTCAAAAATAACATCTCTAGCACTACACGGTTTCGACTCGCACACTCGCACAGTGCAGGCACGGGTTCCAGCAACCAGGTACTGACGTGAGACCAGGCTGGACCAGCAGGTTATCCCCACTCATCAAACTCCAAAAAGGACCCATCCATCCACAAACTACCTATAGTCTCCATTGTAGTTCCTTTTTTTGGTTTAACCAATAATAAATTAAGGATCCCATAAGGTATCCCCCAAAAAGAACTACAATGGAGACATTAGGTACAATCCGAACTTCGCAACTAAACACACTTATCGCACTGGCCGCGGAAGGCCCTCGCATGAAGTATATGCGACTTCATGCCCACAACTCCACCTAAGGCTCTCTGACGACAGGCAACCAACAACAGAAAAGTGACCCGCTATGAGAGTTCGTGACTTCCTTCAAAAGGGCGATGTTGTAGGTGGCCAAATCCATCTCGTTATGAGCCTCATGGAGGGCAACCTCACAGTTGCCAGAAGCACCTTCAGAAAATGTTCCCTTTGGGATATTCGGCAAAGTCTTTGTATCCAGCAGAGTACTGAGGGCGCTCTTGATCAGCAAAAGGTCCGTGATGCTGATACCACCAAACAGGATCGGTAGTGCAAAACGAGTCCCCATCGATTTGCCCTTTCCTTTCCCGTCTGCCACTCCTGATTCAGGGAGGCAGCGATGAAAGGAGCCAATCATGGCAGCTGGATCACGCATCCGGTATAGTTGCTATTACTATAATTACTATATTCTGTCCCAAGAACTGGATCTCCAGATCGGTTTAGGGTTTATTAGGGATTAGGGGGTGGGTTGCAAGATCTTGAGAACCCCATCCCGAGAACCAAACCCTACAAAATAGTAGGTTATGACCCCTTGATTAAAGGGTCTGACCCTTAAAACGGTAGGTTTTTGGATCCACAGGCAGCCCCTATAAAAGACCCTTTGTAACACCTTTGCAGAATCCAAGAATACCTCTGTAACAACTGCAGCTAGTCCGACATCCTCAGAGTCGCGAAGGAATCCGCAAGGAAATCAAGATGTAGAACCCTGTACCGGAAACACCAATACGTCACCCTAAACCCTGAACCTTATAGGCCCTAAACATCCCTAGAACCCATTCCTTGAACGAAGTGTCTCTGAAGTGCCTATAGACCCTGAACCTTACACAAGCCCTAAACATCCCTGAAAACGCGGAATCTTGAACCCTAAACATCCCTATAAACCTTGGACCTTTATAACCGCAATCATCCCTATAAACCCTGAACCTTAAACCCAAAACCCAAATTTCTAGAATCCACCCCCCCCCCCCCCCCCCCCCCGCCCCCCCGAAGAACACGGACGAACGGCCTTTGCGCTTCCTCGCAGACGCGCCGCTCCTTCGATGAACTCCTGAGTCGGGCGAGAATGCAAAGGCCGACGATCCTGTCCCTATGTCCCTTCCTTTCGATTACGGGCTTTTTTAAAGGATCCTATACAGGTTCCTTGAATGGGATCTATAAGGGTTTAGGGCTTGGGGTGTTTTAGAGATTTAGGGTTTAGGGGGGTTAGGGTTTAAGTTGGGGTTCAACGGGTTTACAATTTTATAGGGGTTGAAGGATTTTAAGCTCCATTGAAGCTTATAGCAGACTATAGTGCCATATATGAACTAGAAAGGAACCATCTGCAAGTCTTAACTGTTCCGATCTCTGCTTTGGTAGAGAGTGTGGGCACTTTGAACTTTTGACAAACCAAAGCCGTGGATCCAAAGCCCTACCGCTTTAAGGGTTAGACCCTCTAATTATGGGGTCACAACCTACTATTTTGTAGGGTTTGGCGCCACAGGAAGAGCTGCATAGCATCCCACTCGTCGAGAACATGGTCTAGGGCTTGGGGTCTAGGGTTCATGGTCAGGCAGCTACACGGGTATAGATTTCTCAGTTGCGGTAACCGTCAGAACTCTAGTAAAACAACGCAAAAGTGTATGTTTCATAAGTCCTATGGCACTTTTTTTTGCCGGGAGCTCGCGACCACTGGTGCATGAAATGTGTCGGCAATTATATAAGGTGGCTAGAGTGTCGAAACGTGCCGGGTTGAATGGTTTGCGGCTCTTGCGTTTTCTTGTACACTTGGAGAATCATGGGACTTAGTAAGTACAGGTATAAGTACCCTAACTGGGAATATAAATACTTGTAGGTAGAGTTACCTAAATTACAACCCTACTTACTACGTCCCATGAACCTCTAAATAGGTTTCGGATTTAGGGTTGTCGGTCACCGCCAGGGCGGCTACGGCGAGGCGCGGGGTGGTACGGGGGGGCCCGGGACGATGCGGTGTGGGGCGAGGTGGTATGGCGCCGTAGTGTGGCGTGTGTGTGTGTGTATATATATATATATATATATACATACAATTATGCACTGCATACAGGGCGGTACGAGGTGGATTCTAACTTTCCCGCCGTTGGCGGGCCGTCAGCCGTCGAATTAATGAAAATTCTGGAGTAAGCTCCAAAACCCATCAGACCCAGCTGTTGAAGCAGAAGGGTTCTGACTTCCTTTGGCGCCGTTTTGGGTTCTAACTGGCCGCTCTGGCGACGAAATTGCGGCGACCAGGGGGGGTGTTTGAACTTGCCGTCCAGGGGGTAAGGGACTTGAGAGGGACATTAAGGTGCTGAATGATTGGACGGGCGCTATGCTAGCAGGTGCTTTTAAAGCCTTGGAGAAATATTAGTAAGTAAGATCCTCTTAAGCCCAATAAGAGCAGATGTAAAATGCCCCAAAGCCCTACCTAGTAGAGGTGTTGTTCGGGCTGGAAGGAATTGTGTCTTGCCTTCACAAGGGCTTAATATGTTGGCCTGAATCACCAGAATGGGGCTAAGGCATGTACCATGGTGTAAATATACAACCAGTGTGAGGGGATACTCATGCTGATTATTTCGACCACTTTATTTGCTTTTTGGCCGAGGGTGTTCAGGGTTCTGGGTGAAAATTGGCGCTTCAAGGCTCTGAATTCAGGGCGTATGTTCTTTAAGGTCTTGGGTTCCAAAGTTTAGGGCTGCAGTCCGTCAATCTGCAGATCTTCCATCGCTAGATGTTCAGTACAATGTTGGATTGGGTTGGGTGGCGCTAGCTGCTTGAGAGTCTTTTGAAGTCTTCTGTATATGCACATCTGCGGACACAACCCTAAACCCTAAACCCGTTTTGCAGCAGGCCTCGTTGTCCAGCAGCCCGGTTACAGCAAGAGCCCCCCTCTGTCCCCCGCTTCCTAAACCCGAAACCCCAAACCCTAAACACAAACACAACAGGCTGCCAAGGCTCTGTGAGAGTGATTTGACCATCTCCATTGTCCAAGAACCTGGGCCACGCAACAACTGATTCAAACCCTGACCCAGAAACCGAACCTAAACTAAAAGGGGTTAGTGTGCAGCCTTATAAGGCAGCGAAAGTTGATGCCATTGAATTAAGAATTTTGGTCTTAGCTAAGGCCTACGACGCTGCTATACTTCAGGGGGTTCAAGCTGCATCTGAGCCGAGCATGACTCCACCTGGATCTTGCCATATCCAAGCTCAGAGAGTGCATGACCGATACAGTACCCATAGGCTGCATAGTAGCTCCTTTCTGGGGTTCATATTTAGAACCCTATAAAGTAATCCCAAAACAGGAGCTACTATGACGCCTATGGGTAGACGTCATTAAAGGGTCTCTGACACAGGCACCTCTGAGTCAAAGTATGGACCATTAATGCCTCAAGCCCTGATAAATCTTCATTGCGCCCTGGAGCAGAACCTAGAGGTACCTGGAGCCCTGGTAAAAGCCTCTGAGGAACCCTTTTGGTACCCTTACATATGCACCCTCAGGGAAAGCCTTTGGCATGTTATCGGACTAGCCCCCAAAACCCTAGACTTAACCCTAAACCAGAGCTAAACCACAAACCCTAAACCGTTGTGAAAGCACCGACAGCATCTCTCATCTGGAACTTAGGTTTAGCATGGGAGCCTCAGGCCTCTTGGGTTTAGGGTTTTGGGGTTTAAGGGGAAAGGGTTTAGAGGTTAGGGGTTAGGGTTTAGGGGTTGGCTGGTGCTGCAGATGTAGTGGCACAGAGCCGGAGCATAGCTACATGTGACAGGCTAAAACTAAGACTGCGGCCTTTACAGTTCGATTGTCTATCATTGGCCCTAAACCCTAAGTGATCCTGAACTCCTAAATACTAGGTTTAAGAGACCCTAAACCCCAACCCCAAACCCTGAACCGGCTGAGGGCTGTAGGATGACAAGGGTTTCTTGACTCAAGAGTTTACGCCGGTTCTGTAGGAACCTTGGGTTCAAGGCTCTTCGTTCGGGTGGAGCAGCTGCCTTGCAGCCCCGAACGGTCAAATGTCGGGGCCTTGATAAGACTTAGAATAGGTTTTGGGGGGTGTACTATACTATCAGCATAGTATGGAACCTCCGCAATAGCATTGGTAATGATTGAGACCCCTATATTAGGGTGTTTCCCACGCGTCCAGCTGGCGCACCGCTGCTAATCGTTCCATCAAAGCAAAAAGATGATAGTTTAAAAAACACACGCCGAAGAGGTCCACAGTGATTTGCCCATATCCAGGGCTGTAAGACTAGAGTACATCGTATACCCAAACCATCCAGCTCGGGCACTCAAAAAGGCTCATGAGGTCGTGATACTCCAGCTCTAACTGGCTCATCCAGAACCTGAGCAGTCTGAGTCAGTAGGCGGTCATGATGTCATGATGTTTCTCATACGAACCGACTTTAACCAAACGCGAGCAGACTTCAGCTGCTTTTTCTCGAATTGCAACTAGTGAGGGCGTAGTAATGGTTTTACCTGACTCTAACTATGAATGCAGCCAGCGAGTGCAGCTTCTGATACTAGGGCACGGTGCGAGATACACGCTTATGCATACAGTATACTGCATATGTGCAAACGGAAAAACTCATAATGATGTTAAACCTGGTACGGCCCCAAGAGCTGGCTGAGTCAAGCAAGAACCAAATTGCAATGCCTTAAACCACAACATCCCCGCAAATTACACTTGAAAAGTCTATCTGCGAAAACCAAACAATAAGCCGAGCAAGTTTAGACAGACGGTCACCGAACCGTTAGAGGCCATGCAAACACTGCAAAGCAGGTGTGTATAGCAGTATTCAACAGGCAACAACAACAGAGCCAACCCACGCTCGCATCGAGGCATCTTGCCTACAGTACCAACCCAAAAAAAAGCAGGAAGCCCTGAACCCGGCACCCCTTAGCAAACATGGCCTGCATGATCCAAAACCCCTGAGCCCCTTAACCCCAAGCCCTCAAACCTGAAAACAAGCCACAACCAACGGCACATCTCAAGCACATAGCTACTAGGCACCTGCGCACATACGTATATACATACATGCGTGCAGTTGTACATACGTGCGTATGCACGACGTGTGTATGCGTCCGCGTGTGTCCATTGAACATCCGTAAGTATTTACGAATGCATGTATGTATGCAGGCATGTAGGTATGTAGTCATGTAGGTATGCACCTATGTATCTATGTACTACTACTGCAATGTAGGTGTGTGTGTGTGTGTGTGAGACTTTGTGTCGGGTTGTACTCATACCTGTGTAAGTATGTACCTGTTTATGTATGTGTGTTTGTATGTACCTAGAGAAAGTGTGTGTGTGTGTGCATGTTTGTGCCATTGAATATCTGTCTGTAGAATTATACGTATGTACCTATGCATGCATGCATGCATGTATGCCTGCATGTATGCATGTAGGTATGTATGCCGCTGCATGCCTTTACAATGACGATGCGTGTGGGGGCGTGAAGTTGACCATGTGTAACTATGTCTTGAATACCTGCTTTTGTATGTGTGCATGTATGAAAGTGTGTGTGCGTCCGTATGTGGACCGTATGTATCTCTGTGTACCTGTGTACTTGTACAAGTCCGTGTGTATATATATAACTCCAGAAAATAACACACTACAGTATATGTATGTAATTAAGTATGTTTTCTTGTGTTTGTGTTTATGTATGTACGCACGTACGTGTGCATGCATGCGTGTGGTTACGCATGCAGCTATATACACCTATGTCTAATACTGAGTTAGGATGTTTTATTGAACTGCAGTGTGAGACAAAGCATCTTGTTTTCCGTGGCAGCTCTATTGTACTCTATTGTACAAGTATGAACCACTTGTCGTGTGTAGGCTACTTCATGTACACAAACCCCGCAACAAAGGCCCACTAACTCTAAGCGACTCCCATTGAGCGTTTATGGAATGTCAAGAACCTTTTTACAAAACCTTGAGCCTTGTTCTTAAAACCAAACTTCACACACCCTCGCAAAACCTTGAAACCCTGTTTCAATTCTTCTACAAACCCATAAAAGTTCTCTACAGCTTCCTAGCCCTTCTAAGGCCCTATACATAGTTAGGCGTCAGGGTCTACGGGGGCCAAGGCCCCTCTAGATCCCGACACATGTCGCGTTTAAAGGCAACCCTAAACCCCAAACCCTGAACCCCAAACATCCCCAAACCCTAAAACTTAAACCCTAAGCCTTAAGCCTAAACCCCTTGTACCGTAAAACCTAAACCCCAAACATCCCCAAACTCTCAACGCTCTACCCTAAACCTTTATAGGAAGCCTTTAAAGGAACCCTCATAGGATCCCTTTAAAGGAACCCTTATAGGATACCTGTAAAGGAACCCTTAAGCCGCTCCTTTTTGCACAGCACCGAGGAGCTTCAGCTTGGGCGACTTCACGAGCTTGGCAAACTCCTCTCCGTTCGTTCGCGGGCTCTGCGATGTTTAGGGTCTTTAAGGTCTTTTTTAAGGGATTTGTTGAAGGTTTTTAAGGTCTTTTTTAAGGGATCCTAAACGGCTAATAAGGGTCCCTTTAAATAGGGATCTATAAGGTTTTGGGGTATAGGGTTTAGGGTGAAGAGTTTTAGCGTCTTTTAAGGGATCTTAGAAGGGTTCCTGTAAAGGGATCTAATTATAAGGGTTTTAGGGGTTTTTGGATTCATATGGGTTTTCATAGGGTTTCACCGTCCTCCATGTTAAGCGCTCCATCACCACTCTTGTCCATTGTTGCGAAAACCTTCTTCACCTTTCCTTAGGCATCGGATTTCGGATCCCGGAGGAAAGTCCAGGCTCAGGGCTTAGGGCTTCGGGTTGAAAGGCTTAAGGTTCGGGATGGTTTCTGGCGTGGTAAGAAGAGCAACGTTCGAACAGGCCGGTTTGAGTTTTTACCGGGTTTCGCACGAGGGGGCCTTGATAATAAGAGTCATTTCTTAGGGGTTCTGTTCTAGTACACATGGGTGGGCAAATGCAACTGATTCTTCTGACACCATATTACGTCTTCATGCTGGTTCTGCTGGACTGAAGAGCCAACGCATCGGGCATGTAAATTTGGGTCTCTAGCGGAGTCATCTACTCCGGAACAATAGTTTGGGGATAAGGGTTGTTGGGGATGGAGTACCTGAGTCCTGAACAACCTACCTGTTTAGGGCTCGTTGAAAATGACTTGCTTATACAGGTCCTTGGAAATGCAAATGTAGATGTTATACGGTTTAGGCAGTGCTTAGGCCCAACCTGAACCAACTTGCTTTGGGGCTTTCTTGGCGGGTTTGGTTAATGTAAGGGCCTGATGAGGATCTGCGTGGCTCCGATTCCGGGCAAGTAGGAGACTTTAGAAGGTTCATATTTTCATACGAACCATAAACCCTAAACCTTGTCGTACTGCTTTGGGGGAGCTGAACTTAGAAGCAATCGGCTTCTCCTTTAGGTTCGTGTATTGGCATAAACCGGAAACTGCGGAGCCTGAGGGTTTGATCCGTGCTTTTCATCTCTGCATCATAGATGGGAGTTTCCGAAAATTGCGGGTAATTTCCTTATTTTGGGGTCCTTATAATAAGGATCCTAATGTTTAGGTCACTATAATAGGGGCCCTCATTTTTTGGAAACTCGCAGACAAGCCATAACGATCATAGTGGGCCTTACCTGGACACCAAATGACCTACCCGTTTAGGGTGCCTGACATGATTTCTTGAAAAGAATCCTTAAAAAAGGTAGGCTATTTGAGGTTAAGAAAAGCGCCTTTGGGTATACTGTAGCATAGCTGTAGAGCTCCAAGGAATCCCCTCAGTTTGTAGAGGGGTCTATTGGCAACCACCATAATAGACCTTTTCCGGGGTCTAATCTGGTTGGCTGCGTAGGGGTTACACGACCCTTTTCAGACCCTCGCCCTATACAGACCCTGCGTCGGATGTTGACGAGTTTAAATGGAATCATGGAATGCCACACCCATGTCCGTCGGAAGATACTGTATGGCAAACCTAATGAACAACACAGTCTCTACCTTTTATCAAATGGTACCTTCTCAGCCTCCTGCGACAGGATAATGCAACATGATGCAACATGCACAACATGTGACAAGATGCTGCCACATGGAGAAGGTCTAGATTGGTCTTCCTGCTAGGGTCTAGATTGGTACCGCCAACCATTGCAGACCTTCCCATCTTCGGCTGCCAGAAGCCCCCCAATCCAGACCCTCGCAAACTGAGTGGATTCCAAGGACTAATATTGCCAGTCAGTCACGCTTGCATGTTACACCAGGGCTTCAATGCCACAGCTTCAAAAACCTCCGCCGCCCCCTACCCTTCAACGTCGACAAATTCAAGTTCCGAGGCCCAACAAGGATCAATAGAAATCACCCGGAGCTGTATCCCTGAGACCTAAAGACTTAAAGCTGCAGAAACATGGACAATGTCAAGCCTCACCACCCAAAACGATCAAGAAAACTAAACCCTGAAATCTGAGTTTGCTTCAGGTCACAGAGTCACAGACGCAGTGGCAACACACACGCACACACACACACACAAACAAACCAGGATGCAAGCAAACAACTTCGCTCTCACACACACACACAACCGCACACTCACCTGCTCTCTTTCTCACTAAGACGACAAACTACACAGTTACGACGCTGCGATCGACAAGCCTCAAGCCTGACGAGGCAAACAGCAAGTTGTAATTGTAACAGACACAGGCATTAGGTTCAGGTAGCTAGAAATGATACTTGTACTTACAACAGTATGGTATTGGCAATAGTAGTAGTGCATTACCCAGTGGTGCCAGGCGAGCGTCTTGTATACATGGCCGTATCTCTTTCCTTCCTGGGTTCAGTGAGCAGCGTCTAAATCAAACGTCGTCTCCCTAAAACCTAAACCCTAAACCGTCAGGCAACAGGAAAGCAGGGCACGGCCGGGAGTATACAAAGAAGCTTAGCCACTCATAGCGAACCGAAATAACACATTTTGGCTGTTTGCGGATGATTCTACATCCTAAGACTCAAAATAGCACTAAAGTAGGTACCATTTGTAATCTTGGGCCCTGACGGTACCTATCGTTTGTATACTAGAAGTCTGAAGGTCAATTCCTAGAACATCGGTCTGACACCGGTTACGCCCAAAGTCCTCTAAAACTCAAGGCTCTGTCTCCTTGCAAAAAACCCTGAAGGAGCAAAGAGAAAAACCCTAAACTTGATCTCGGGCTCCGACTCGCTGCAGGGTCGAGGGTTCAAGCTCTTTCGGCTCAGGTTCAAGCCCTGAAACAAGTCTGAAGCCTTAAACCCAGCCTCAAGGTCAGAGCTTCGGGTCTTGGGAGTAGGGTATTGAGTTTTGGGATTAGGTTTTTAGGATTAGGGCGTATTCTAAGGGCTTTGGGATTGCGGTCTCGGGTAAACCGAAAACAGCGCAAGGCTTTCGGCGGCAGCTTTGGCAGTCCCTCACATTCCATGTACACAAACAGTATATACTTTGACCCCAATGTACCTATAGGTACTTTAGGGCCAAAGTAGATATTATTTGCCCTAAACCCTAAATCCTAAACCGACATGGACCCTTAGGGAGTAAGATCGCGCAGAAGCGACCTGCCTCTATGCCTTCCACAAGCTTACCCAAAGGCCCCAAAGTAGTTCCTTTTTGGGGTTCATATATAGAATCCTATAAGGTAATCCCAAAAAGGAACTGGGACCTCTGGGTACCTACATTCGGGCTGAGGGTGTGGGTCGTAGTTCCGCACTCAGTCATTTTGAAAAGCCCGTTACTATGGCAATACTCGAATGAACCAAGAGTTCCTGCGTCTCGCCTACCAATCCCTCATGGTCCATGTACCCATCTAACAAGAATAACAAACTATATGCAGACTGCTGTAGAGCCCATGTATCTACTACATGGGCACATGCACCGTTTAGGGAATAGCAGGCGCGCACGATCGGAACGGCGCAAGCCAAAAATCCCTAAACCCTAGTCCCCTAAACCCGAAACCCTAAATCCAGATGGCCTCAAACGTAAACCCCTAAACCCAAAAACCTCAAACCAAAAACCCCTAAACCCTTATGGATCCCTTTAAGGAACCTTTATAGGATCCCTTGTTAAAAGAAGCCCTAACGCCCCTATAGACACCCGGGCGCTGCTTGAAGGCCAGCTCTTCATCATTCGTAGCCGTCTTCATAGTCTGCCTTTGCTTCTTTCGGGTGTAGCGTTCCTTTAAAGGGGATCTATAAGGGTTCCTCCAAAGGGATCTACATGTCAAAAGGGGTTTAGGGTTGAAGGGCTTGAGGTTAAGGGCTTAGGTTTTCTTGTATCAACATTTGGCGAGACTTCTCAGCAGTTGGCTGAAGGCCCTACAGCTTCCGATGGAGTTTCTTGCCCTGGGGATCGAAATAGCCCAAAACCCTTATATAGTATGGTCTTTGTGCCCAAAAGCCTTAAAATATGAGTCCTTAGATCCCCAGCAGGCTGTCCCCAGGGTAGGTTTCTCGGGCAGAAAGTTCAGCTTGAGGGTTTGCTGCTCCGCCGGCCTTCGGGTTCGAAGCCGAACCCCGGGTTCGGCCCGAACTCCAGGTCCAGCCATAAACTTCACTTAACTTCGGTTGGTGGTCCTGGAGACTTGGAGACATTCCAAATCTATCCCACTGGTAAAGGAGGATAGATCATAAGGACGGTCATATTTGCTGCATCATTTTCGGAGGGATATCTGACAACGGCTTCAGCAAAGTAGCTGAAACTATAGGGTTCAAGGTTCAGGGTTTGCAGTTATATTCAACATAGTGAACTTGTAAAAACCAGCTGTACGACCAAAAGCATTGGTTCAAGCATATATCAAGACCGGTGTTGAAAACAAATGCAGTTTCGTATTTTAGGTTGAGGGGGGTCGGACGATAGTAGGGGCTTAGAGTGCAAGCTTTTGGAGAAAATTTTGGATGATTCAAACTTGCGTTCGTCTGTACCTGTATGAAAGCCAAAACAGCCAAAACCAAAACTTACATACATACATTTTGATACATAAATATGTGAGTTATGTACTTAAACTTACTTATGTAGTCGTCTTTTGTTGAGAGCCTCTTTCCTCTGCCAGGAGAGCCTCTGTGAGGCAGGCACAGGTTACACTAGTTACTCATGTATTGAAAGTCTCAAGCCCTGTCGCTCCAGATCGCCCAAAGTAGGTACTACACGTAGACTTAAGTAGATACTTATCCCTTTAAGGAACCCTTATGGATGCCTTTAAAGAAGCCTGTAGAACCTAAGGGTGGGGATCTAAGTGCTACAGTTGGTGATATAAATCTTGCATGACCTTAGGGGCCCTAAACTATGTGAATTATGGTATATTCCTTGTATGGGTAATGCAGGATTTATATCATCAACCGAAGGACTATTTACATGCTTGGGAGCGTTTCCGGACTCAGAGTTGCAACCGGCTGTGGATCAGCTTGGCACCCCAGTAAGGGTTTGGGGTTTAGGGTTTGGTTCAGGGTTTAGAGTTTAGTTTAGGGTTTAGGGTTGATAAGAGTTCAGGGTTTAGGGTTTGGTTTAGTCTTTAGGGTTTAGAGTTTAGTTTAGGGTTCAGTTTAGGGTTAAGGGTAGTAAGGAGAATGCGCCATATAGGGTGACAGGTTTATGTAGAGTGATGCAGAGGCCTTAATAATTAGACTAGGAGTTTGGGGCTCCTTTTATAGCATAGCTATAACAGGGAGCCCTAAGGAATAATATTGGTAGCTACTTAGTTAAGCTTCTACAGTATAAGCTCTAGGGCTTCGTCAGCAGCGGCTTCCGATGAAGCCTTAGAGCTTAGACTGTGAGGCTCTGGCAGAGCCAGAATGCCAAAGTACCCTCGAAGGATCGATACAGACAACGCTCGAGAAGAGAACCTCTATCTAAACTTATGTAGTGCTAGAATACATACCTTGACGGAAGCAATAGCCTATATCTTAAGGCACGCAGTGCTAGGATGCCTATCTTTGGTCCTTCAAGAGGGACTACTGGAGGCAAGTCCTTCCCCGTTACCCACCTAACAACAGCGGCACTTTTCGGAACCCCCTGAACTCATGCTCGGTCGTTTACACACCAAATTTGGCCTAGGGCTTCAGAAGCAAGAGCAAGAGGATCAAGAGCGGGGCAAGAGCAACAGCAAAGGCAGCAGGATCCCCCAACAGTGCAGATAGGACCCACCCTCGTATTAATCCTTCCTGAACGAGGTCTCTCTGAAGCCCTCATTCCTAAACCCCAAAACTCTACAATTAAACTCAAAACAACTTTTCGGTGTTCTACATGTCTTTCTATTGGAGTGGACCCTCACCCTTTCAATGTTAAGGAAAGTGAGTGCTCTTGGTGGATCTTGAGGGCTTCATGATCCAGAGTTTGCGTTGGGGTTTAGAATTTCAGCCTGTAGCCTTTAGGGTTTAATTAGGGTCTACAGGGCTTGGGGTTTGGGGTTCTAAAGGGTTTAAGGGTTTTGAGCGTAGGGTTTAGGGCTTAATTAGGACAGGATTAGGGTATTCTTAGGCTGCAAGAAAAGTTGGTTGAGTTGTCACTATGCCGTGTCTGTAGCGTTTAGGATTCGGGGGGGCTCAGGGCTTTGAAGTATCCGCCTTCAACTAGGAAACAGCCTGTATCCCCAAACCCTACAAAATAGTAGGTTATGACCCCTTAATTAGAGGGTCTGACCCTTAAAACGGTAGGTTTTTGGATCCACAGGAGGGGAATGAATGAACTTCTGGCGGTGTCTAACGCGATCCAGGCGGCTGAACAAAGACAGCGCTGACCTCTGCATGGCGATGCCCACAATATCTACGAAGGGAAGCGAAGTGTCACAAAGCATCCCATAAGGTTTATCGGTTTTTAGGGAGCAGATGCAGGGCTGCAGAATCGCAGGATGTTCCTTCGGCTAGTGGATTCCCGGTGAAGCCCATCGCCAAGCACCAGTCTCTCGGTATGCCTGTGGGCCTACTGCCAGTGAACCCGGTCCCTAAGACCCGGGAAGCTATTTGCATCCAGGCCTGTTCAGACTGCCGGGTAACTTGATGAAACTGGAGGAACCCTATACCCGAAAACCCCAAGGTCCACATGCCTGCCTGATACGAACTGTCCGATGACAACAACATGACACTCTTTCCTAAACCGCATAAGCCTGACGAATACGTTCAAGAAGCGTCGAAAGCCGCAGATGCCTTGTGCCCCGTATCTTCATAGGTCCACAGCAGGAAAAGTCCAGTTTGGTCTGTGGTTTCTGGTTCAGGGTGTGAGATTGAAAGTTTGAGGTAACCGTGGGAAACATGATGCGGGCGCGGAGAGACTTGCGCTGTAGCTAAAGCCCAAAACGTCCCAAACCCTGTAGCTTCAACAAGCTTTGGGGTCTGCATGCTAAAGAAAGATCGAGGACCCCTAAGCCCTAAGCTACGAGAAACAGAATCATTCAAGGTTCGCGGAGCTATGTTATTCCCTGAACCCCGAAGCCCCAAACCCTGAAATCCAGATGGGTTTAGGGTTTCAGATCAGGGTTCAAGGCATGTAGGGTTTAAGGCTTAAGGTCGGTTTAGGGTTTAGGGTTTAAGGCTTAAGGTCGGTTTAGGGTTTAGGGTTTAAGGCTTAAGGGCTATAGTTATAAAGCTTACAGGGCTTATAGGGGTTAGGATTTACCGTGCACCCCCCCCCTCCTCTGCCCAAAACCCTACATCCTGAAGGGTAGATGCAGGAGCTCGGAAACTCGGTCTTAGGGTTCACCAATACCCACCCAAAAACTACCCTCTATCATACCCTAATTAAATACCATCATAAGGGCTCTGTTCAGGGGTACTTTGGGGGTGCTTTCTGGTGGGGTTTAGGGTTTAAAGTTTGAAGGAGTTTGCGCGTTCCCGTGCAGTAAGCATATGCTGGTACGTCGAGGTACCAAGACACACCCTCCGTATATGTCCTACTGTAAGATGTGAGTACTTACCCCTAAGCCCTAAATCCTAAACCTTCCGAGACCTAAATCCTAAAGCTTGGGTCTTCTGTGGGTGTGGTTCTGGGGCCTGGAGATTTGGGAGTTTCCGAAAATATGGGACCCTAAGAAAGTGCCCTACATAGTAGGATCCTTATTTTCAGGACCCCAAAACAAGGTACCCCTAATTTTCGGAAACTCCCATTTCTAGAACTTTGGCTGTCGCCTATAGGACGTCACCTTGCCGGTGGCTAGGCGAGATGGCCTTGGACTTGCATATCCAAAGGCCCCAAAGTAGTTCATTTTGGGGTTTGTATAAAGAATCCTATAAAGGTAATCCCAAAAAGGAGCTACTTTGGGGCCTCTGCATAGAGTCTATCGTCTTTGGGCTGCCCGGCGCGAGATCAGAGGGTTTCATGTTGATAGAGCAGGCATCTTTTTCTCGCCGGCGCGCGCAAACAAGACCCCTCGCGATCCCCACACCCGCACAAGCATAAAGCCAAAACCCAGAAATGCTAAGAATCCAACATGCCAACCAATCCTGTATTCCCACAAATATGTAACCCTTACAGAGCCCATTCAAACCCCGACAGACACGCAGCTTAGGGTTTCTGGGTTAGCTGCTCACGGACGGAGCTGCTGTCGCCACCCAGAGACGGAGAGCCCCACGAGAGCACGGAGCCATCGCCCTGGATGCCCGCAAAAGCATAGTGGGACGCCTGTACTTGCCAGATATTCTCCAGGATACCTTCGGGTTTCCTCATAAAGTTTAGGGTTTAGGGGTAGGGTTAAGAGGTTCTACTGTGCACGGCTTTCTTCGAGTTTCTTAAGATTAGGAGGTACCCTGTTGTTTTTTTTCAGCAGGGGTAGGGTCCTTCTACGAAGGGACATACTATGTCGGGTCTGTTCTCTACGATACCTTCGGGAAGGGTTGGGGGCCAGTGTGTTTAGGGATGTCTAGGGACTGTCTAGCACTTTCGGTTCAAGGCTTTGGCGGGGGTTATGTACCTTCCGGGCCATGTTTAGCGGCTTAGAAACCTTTCGTCTAAGCCATCCCTAAACCCTAAACCCTAAACCCTAAACCCTAAACCCTATATGGATAGTTCTCTGAATTAGGGCCCCTTTTGGCAGTGCTTTTGACATTGGTTCTGCGTTCTTTTTGGAACCTGAAAAGGGCACCTGAAGTTAGAGAACTAAGTATCTAAACCCCAAAAGCCCTTCACCTCTCAGCCGATTTCGGCGCTTTCCCAGTTAGGGTTTAGGGTTTAGGGGTTTACCTAAACCCTAAACCCCTAAACCCCTAACCCCTAACCCCTAAACCCTAAACCCTTGAAGTTTAGGGTCCCACCTTCGGGGATGTCTCCCCAGGTCACTGCCCGATCGTCGGAGGTGATGGCAGTGAACGCGTAAGTGGAGGCCTTTGATCCCCGGTGGTCTCTTTTGAGGCTACAAGAACCTTCCTGTAAGGGCTCCTATAACATACTACCCCAATAAGCCACAGAAATAAAAGGTTGAAACTTTCCGATTCGTACTAAACTATAAGAACCCCCAAAAGTTTAAAGGTTAGGTATTGGGGATCTAAGGTAAGGTGCCCTACAAGGGTACTGCAAGGGATGTATAGGGCTCTCAGCTAGAAAGTCTCACAGGTGCCCACTATACCGTACCTAAAACAGGAGTCCCGTAAACAATCTTATGATCTTATGACTAGACTTTCTAAGGGAACCCGAGACGAAAAGCGGAACATGCAAAAAACGTACTACTACCCTAAACCCTTCTTTTTGAACCCGAAACTCCCCTGAACCAAAGCGTACTACTCGCAGGGAGGCCGAGATGTGCTGCACATCCTTCAGAGACTTCCGAACCTTAGCTGCTGAGTTCATAAGACCCCAGAGGAGTTCAGACTTCCGGTTCTGTGGGGTTCAGGATTTAAGGCTTTAGGTTTGGTTTAGAGTTTAGGGTTAAACGGTTACCGTTTAGGGTTCAAACGGCTTAGGGCTTAGGGCGTAGGCTTTACGGTGTATAGGGAATTGTGCTATCCACCAAAAAATGCAAGGTGTACTCCTTCAGCTACTAAGGAACAGATCGGCTGTTTCCCCCGCCGTGCTGGTCTCCCCAAGTCACAACCGATCCTGGGTTTCGAACTTCAAAAAAGTGAGACAAAAAGGGAGCTGAACAAAAAACAGAAGGTTGTGATATCCCATAACCCCTTCAAAAACAAGCCGGTTTAGGGTTTAGGGTTTGGGGGAGGTAGAAAAATATCCCACCCAAAAGTTTGTGTTTGGGTACTTTTCTGGAGCCCTCTCAAAGACGTTTCGGCCCTAAAGCCTACAGCCTCAGCTTACATGTACCTACAAATGGTAGGGGTCCCTTTTTGGGTTCCCTTAGGGGGCTCCTTTAAAGGGACCCTTAAAGGGTTCTATAAGGGATCTATGATAGGGTTCTATACTCTGTATGGGTGGTTGTCAAAATTAGGGTCCCCTTTTGGGTCCGTATTATAGTACGGCACCTAATATTTAGGGTACCCAAAAAGGGACCCTAATTTTGACAACCACCCATATATGTACTTGAGCCTTAAATGGGTTCCTATGCAGGTACAGTTAAGGCTCGAGAAGATTCTATGGTTACATGGAGCTGTTTTTTCTGCAGGGGGTCTCGAGTAAATCATCAAAAATCATGGATGAGGATTCATATCGAGCTAATACCGGCAGTTATCCTTACATAACACCTTAATTTTACCGTATCCATGAATCGAAAATGTTACCGTGGGGGCTGTGTTTGTGCTGGGACTGGTTTCGCGGAGTCCTCTCTGATTGCAAGGGAGAGCGTTGTTCTCTGTTGGCCGGTGTGTTTGTATTCAGAATTCAGATGTCTTACATGGCATAGCTTGTTTTTTGTTTGCACTGAGGGTCTCTACAAGAAAGGGGTACCCTACAGCCTTTGTCCCAAATCCATACCTAAGATCCGTCTTCGAGGATGGCCGCAAAGGCTCCGGTGTTTGCCTGCACCTGCGAGCTTCAGTAATTGAGGATTTTAGCAGTTTTTTTGGTTTGTAGGGCTAGGGGCTTCAGGGGTCTGGTTGAACCCGACAAACCTCTTTGTTTCCCATCCCTCTGTGTCCGTTTCCCAACTATATCTCCAATGGTAGAGTCTGTGGTCCGGGATTTGAGAGATTGGGGTTCATAGGCTTAGGGTTTGGACACTCGCACTCGCACAAGGAACGCCGAATATTAAGAGCACACCCAACCTTTCGTACATTCTTCAACTGGTGCTGCACGCTGCGGCTGTCACCACCGAAGTCGGACCTTCAGGCAATACAAGGGTCTCAAAAAGCAGAACACCTAGTCTTTAAAGGCTTGCATCACGGGCTGACAGAGGGGTTGAGTATCGACTACAGTAGAATATCATGATCTAGGGGCCAACTGAAATGCCATGGCTGAACGCCCTAAACCAAAAGTTGGCATTCCGACCTCCAGGTGACCACAGATCTATCGCGCAGGATAGCAGCAAAGCCGCACTTTGAGGCCTGGAGCTCTTGTACATCACGCAGCTGATCCTGGACAGCAGTGCTGTCACCACCTTCATCGGGGCATCCCCATGTCACAACTGAGCCATCTTGCCGCATCGCGGCAAAAGCCGAAGCTGTTGCTTGCACTTCAGTCACGTCTTGCAATAAATGCTGAATTGCGCTGCTGTTTCCACCGAATTCAGGACTGCCCCAGGTCACAACGGATCCATCCGTGCGAATGGCAGCAAATGCTTGTGACGATGCCTGGACCTTCTGCACGGAGTTTAACTGCTCACTGACGGCGCTGCTGTTGCCGCCTCCCCATTGGTTGCCCCAGGTTACTACCCTTCCATCTCCAGTTAAAGCAGCAAAGGCGAAGCGACTGGCCTGGATTTCCTGGACGTTGCACAGAAGGTCCCGGACAGCGCTGCTGTCACCACCACTTTCTGCCGCGCCCCACGTCGCAACAGATCCGTCACCCAGGATGGCAGCAAATGCTCGCTCAGAGGACTGCACCTTCACAACCTGGTTCTAGGGTTTGGGGCGTTGGGTCTACTAGTTCAGGAGAAGAACCATGATAGGAACATGCTGCCAAAAAAACATGTGCTTGCCTGTTTTATGGTAGCTTCACTAGAGTTCATGAAGTTCTGCAACATTTAACAAGAGTCCAGCAACGTTGTTCAGGCCTTCAGGAACCCCTATGCATCCTTCTTCCTCCGACACACCACCCCATGCAACGAGAGATCCATCTGCAAGGACAGCTGCAAAGCCGCTGTGGGAGGCCTTGACCTCCTGCACGTTCACTAGCCTGTTCTGCATGTGTCCTTAGCTAGGATACCCAGTAACCTTAGAATAAAAAGGCATCTCTTTTTGGTATTGGGTAACTTTATAAGGAACCTAGGACTACAAAAAGGGAATAAGGGTACTACTGGGCATCCTAGTTAGTTTCTATGGGGATATTCTTTGGCACGAAGAGTGCAAGGTGTACTCATTCAGCTACCAAGTGTCTGCTGTCTCCTCCAGATGATGGATCTCCCCAAGTCACGACAGATCCGTCGCTGAGGACGGCTGCGAACGCGGAAGCTGAAGCGGCTAAAGAAACTGGCTGCTTGGTCAGGGTCAAGATATCGCCGTCTTTTAGGCCTGCCTCGGAAACCGTCATGGCGCCACTCAATGCCTCCCCTGCAGATGTCAGCAATTTTCCATTGAATTGGAAGGCGTCTCGCGATTGCTTTCTCACGAGCTCGAGGGGCGCGTCCGAGTCCAGATATAGCTTCTTCCTCTTCCCACTTAACAGTACCACTTCGACAGAGATCGACATGCGGTTCAGAGAACATACCAAATGCCAAAAGCTTGTGCAAGTCAAAAAGCCGGCACATGATGCTCAAATTGTTCTTGTCGTGTGTGACGTCCCCGTGCTTATTCTGCATGCATTCAGTGTATGGACTGCTGAATGTGCCATATCTGCTGTACACTGCCACTGAGCCTGATCGTGCTGTGCAATGAGCAATTCAGGAGAGATAGAATGCGAGGCTGCTTAGTGATGGCTTACGTTTTCTTAAACTGTGATACCACCTGACCAAACACGTACCAATTTCACTGGAATGAAATCCCATTCTGCGGGCAAGTGGATGCAGCAATGCCGGCAAGGTAACCTGAGAAACATCCTGAAACGATGTAGTCCTAGACTGTCCTACACCGCTTGGTGACGGGTTGTGTGGGGGCATAGATGTCGGGTCTTCACGGTTCGCAATGGTGTGGCAAATGATGTGGTGCCCTCAAACAAACAAGACACTGTCAGTCAAGATAATTCAAGAGTAAACTGAAGTTGCTGTAACCCACGAAAAAACAAAAGGGGTTTAGTAGAGCCTGCAAAATACCTCTACCCCAGCCTTCCTTTTCCTCTAAGGAAATATCATAACAGGGAGCCCAGCAAAGGTAGGCTTCTTGGGCGACAGGCTGTCCTGGATCTCTACCATTTGGACCCTAAACCCTAAACCTTCATAGTATAGCTACCCGTACTAGAGAGTTGAGGATCCCTCTGATGCTGCGTTTGGTGGAGCGGAACAACCCTAAACCCTAGTTCAGGGTTTAGGCTTCAGAGTCTAGGGCTTAGGGTTAAGAGTCTTTGGTTCATAGGTTAACTAAACCACGGTTTAGGGTTTAGGGTTTAGGGCCCTACAACTTACTAAAACCCTTAAGAACTGAGGCCGCAGCCACATTAAAGAACTGAGGCAGCAGCCACATTGAGAACCGCGAAGCCCAAGACCTGGGCTGTTGCGACCCTGAGGTTATCCTAGACACCCCAAGTACCCTTTATACGGTTGATGATATGAATCCTGCATTACCCATAATAAGGAACAAGGAATATATGCGAATTATGGCATATTCCTTATTATGGGTCATGCAGGATTTATATCATCAACAGTAGTAGTCCCTAATTACCTCTTAATGAGAGATAATAGCTTGGGGGGTCCTGGATAGGGTTTACGGAGCTAGTGCTGATTTCGGGTTTGGAGGGTTCAGGGATAAGGATGCATGCTCCTGTATAGAAACTAGGGTGTAGTAGATACACTGACCCTAAAACTGCTCCGGCCGAAGTGTATGCGACCCGCGGTACATGGACCCTTTTACCCTAAACCATATAGAACTCGTATGGATACCTTATGGCACCCATACAGGTACAAGGACCCTTCGCGTAAAGTCGAACGCACAAACTCCGTGGGACCCTGACGTCCGAGAACATCTAAACCCAAGCTATGCGATTGGCAACAATGATCCGATTACTATTGATGGCACTGCCATAGCAATAGTACTTGCAATAGCAGTAATCGAAAGAGTATCCTACAGTTTCCGGAGGCTTCTACAGAGTATCAGACAGATCCACAGCAATAACCGGTCGACAACTTCTGGAGACCTCAAACAACCCGCAGTAATCTGGGAATGTTCTGCGTGGTCAAGGTTGGGTTTATAAGGTGCTCCATTTGCCCAGACCTTCCAAAATGCCTTAATTAAGGAATATACCTTAAATCAGACCAGAATCCCTAATAATATGATTTAAAGAAGTATATTCCTTAATTAAGGGATCTTGGAAGGTCTGGGTGCTGAAGGTCCCCAGCAGCAAAGAAGCAGCACACAGCCGTGCAGCAAGAGACATTTCTGGTTTCAACCCTGGCCCTAAGCGCTAAACCGTTTGCGTAGACTCCTACTGCAGAGCGTCGACACGTGGGCAAAAAAGGGACTGTCAAGGGCATCTAATCAGAAGGGGGCCCCTCTCATAGTCTATATGTAACTCTTGTTGGGCAAGAGGCTTCTTCTAACCAGCAGTTCGGGTCCTTTGGGCTTCATTCCGAGTCGACAGAGGGTGTTCGAGACGGTACCCTGTTCTCCGATTCTCGAAATTCTGTGGCCTGGTTTCGGGCTTAGGCCTTGATGCCTGCTTGCTGCGGAAAGCAAATTCCGGGAGTATTTCCGACAATCAGAAGCCCATTCCGCTATCCTACCCCCCCCCCCCCCCTCTCTCTCTCTCTCTCTCATCTCTCTCTCTCTCTCTCTCTCTCTCTCTCTCTCTCTCTCTCTCTCTCTCTCCCAGGCATTCGAAACTTCAAGCCCTAGGACTCTCTCTCCCAGGCATTCGAAACTTCAAGCCCGGCTGTAGGACACCCAAACCCCTAAAGCCCCAAACCCCTAAACCCCTTGTATCCTGGGCGCGAACCGCGAGCTTGGGGATTGTGAGCTCGAGCTGTGGCCCGGACGCACCGGTAGAGCAGGAAGAACACAGAGAACCATTCACCTAGTAGGACGGCTCGAATAGAAAAAGGATTTGGGGTTTAGGGGATTTGGGCTGTAGGGCTTGGGGTTCAGAGACTAAGGTACAAACTGAGGTGTGTGTCCCAGCAATACGTACAGCATCCGAAGCAACCCCTTCTTATGGAACTGGGGATATGCGCTGCAAGGTACAGTAGCTGCTGCAGCGAAATTATAAGCCTGGCCAATGTGAAGCTCCGAATGTGCTGGTGCGAGCATGTGTCAAGCGAGTTAGGGAAGGACCGCTGATTGTGAGTCCACCATTTGGAGCGCCCGTGTGCAAACCTAACATGTTAACTGCATACACCTGAACCCTATGACCGGTATGTCCGCTATAACATCTGTTAAACATGAGTCCGCAACATATCATAAGTTTGACGTCCTTTCCTTGCCTGAGTAAGCTCGAAGGCTCGACGTATCCCACGCAGCGAGGCTAAGGTGGCCAAACTAACCCTCAACCGATCCTTGCGGTACAACACTGCAGATGTCAGCTGAGGCACTCATGTTCTCCAAAAGAACTCTTGCAGGTGGGGCCCAGTTCGCGAAGAGAATTTCAAACCTGAGTAGTAGTCAACGGCTTGCACCTTGAATTTCAAACCTGACGTCGTCGGAAAAAAACGTACCCTACCACGGGGTTGCGCCCGGAGAAAGGCCATTGCCGAAATCCAAACCTGATCATGCTTTTCAGTCGCACCCTCACTCTGAAGCACGACTGAATGTCAGATCTGATGGTTTTAAGTTCACCACACGAACCTCAGCACTGTGATCGTGAGAAGGAGAACCATCACGAGCAAAGTGATGCATGATGATGATGATGGTGATGATGATGAGTGGCTCTGACTTTGCTGACACTGAAGCGAATAGGAAGCGAACGCCACCCTGCAATGGTTGGTCCATCTAACTGCTGTACCGCTTGGGGTTACGAACATTCAAGGACTGGTACGGTCAATCCGACACAGAAAGTAAGAAAGCTTAAGCCCTGACCCTAAACCCAAGCAACATCCCGAAACGTGGGGCGCCGGGGCTCTGACAGCCACGTAGTATATGCCGGCTTGAAGTACTAGGCTGAAGAGCTGCATGTCACGACCCTGAACTTTACAGAAAACCTTACGCCCTGAACCCTAAACACTCAACCCCTAAACTGCCCCTAAACAAATCCTAAACACAAACCTTACCCCCGAACCGTAAAAAAGAACCTAAGCTGAAAGGGTTTCCTTTAAAAGGTACTATAGGTTTCTATGATAGGGTTCCCTTTAAGGGTCTAGGGTTTAGGGCTTACTTAAAGGTTCATGGGGACTTAGGAACTAAGATTATAAATAAGGCAACCATACTTATACTTAGTCAAAACCCCAAATAACGCACTTATGACCTTACTTACGAAGTCCCATGATCCTCCAAGTAGACCCTAAACCCTGAACCCTATAGATCCCTTTAAGGAGCCCTATAGATCCCTTTAATACTAAGTCCCATGATCCTCCAACTAGGTTTCTTACAGCCTCCCAAGGCTGAGTTGCAGTCCCTTCAACTGTCTTTTGGCTTCGTGAAGGGATCCTGTAAGGATTCCTTCAAAGGGATCTATAAAGGTACGGTTTAGGGTTTAGGGTTTAGGATTCCTTCAAAGGGATCTATAAAGGTTTAGGGTTTTGAGGATTTGGGCTTGAGGGTTGCCGATCCTCTCTGCTTGTCTGGTACGGCACGCATTCTGACGCTTGCACCTGCAGCTTGCCTCTCTCTCAGCCGAACTCAAACCCACGACCTGATGACACTGACTTCCACGCATGGTGCCTTTACTCACTGCCCCAACAAGCCACAAAAAGAAAAGGTTAAACTTTGCGATTCCTACTAAACTATAAGAACCCCAAAGGTTTATAAAGGCTAGGTATTGGGGATCTAAGCTGCACTGAGCTCCACGCTTTAGATTCGAGGGCTCCTCTGAGGTTTCCGGTATGAAGGTTAGGTATTATTGGGGATCTAAGTTTATAGCTTAAGCCTAGAAGCATGGTGAGGATGGTGCGGCTGAAAGTGCCGTAGTAGCGAAACACGTCCTCCACCGGCTCCATTGGCTTGGAGTTTAGGGGTCTAGGGTTTAGGGTTTTAGGGGTTTAGGGTTTAGCGTTTAGGTCTGCTTCGGGCTTTTGGGGGTGATGGCTTCAGCTGCAAGGTCTTGTTGGATTGCTGGAGGCACAGAGTGGGTAGGGTGGCGATGCGGGAGCGCGACATCCGGTTCCAGGCCGACTGCACTACCTCGACAACAACAGCCAAGTCCTCACTCGTGTTCTCTCTGACTCTCTGCTGTTAATAATCTGGAGTGGATCCGTCCAGAGGCCACTGAGAGATTGCAACAATCCTCGGGTACCTGGGATAGTTGCTTCTGTACAGAGGTGTATGTTAGCAACGTACCAGTCTCAGAAGTAGCAGAAGTAGGTGTAGGCGTAATGGCCGATCTTGCTGCAGCACGAACCCTGGAGCTAGCAGTAATAACTCATCATAACATACTCATGGCAGCTATGTTGTAGTGGACACTGTGGTGCTGACACTCCCATCACCAGGAGAAGTACCAGCAGTAGTAGTAACAGTAGCAGCAGCAGCAGCAGCAGTAGCAGTAGTAGCAGTCGTAGCAGTAGTAGGAGTAGTAATAGTCGTCGTCATCGTCGTCATCGCAGCAGCAGCAGCAGCAGCAGCAGCAGTGGCAGTGGCAGTGGCAGTGGCAGTGGCAGTGGCAGTGGCAGTGGCAGTGGCAGTGGCAGTGGCAGCAGCAGCAGGAGTAGTAGTACTAGTAGTAGTAGTAGTAGTAGTAGTAGCAGCAGGAGTAGTAGTAGTCGTCGTAGCATAGTCGTAGTCGTCGTAGTAACCATGCAGAAGCTGAAGAAATAGCAGCAGCAACAAACCGAGCAGCATGGGCATCAACAGCACCAAAGCTCTCCACAATCTTAAGTTGGCAGGGAGTAATTGTGGTAGCCGGGGTGGGCCGAAACAGGTATTGGCAACAGCCGGTGTGGTCGAAATGAACGTTTGCATCATGCCGTTTTACTCATCGGTTTCCTGGCGTAGCTCCAAAGCGATGGTTTCGTCCGCCACGAAATCGCGGCAGAGTGTGCCAACCACCCTGAAGCGGGTTCGGGGGAAGGGTTTTGGCTCAGGCTGAGATGTTTCATCAACCCAAAGGCTCCATGCACCTCTATAGTAGATACTTAAGCGTTGAAGGGGTCCCTATACAGCTACTTCAAGGACGAAGTATACACGATACGGGCACATGGAGCCTTTGGGCCACAGAGCGCATGTCTTTGGCGGCCGGGATGAGCCAGCACTTCTTCGTACGCATTTATTCCTATCGTTGCGTCTTGTTGCTGGTCTCGTCTAGACGGTTCAATGAGACAGGGCTGGGTAAGCATGGGGTTGGGTTCTAGGTTCTCCCCACGCACCTCTGCAATGACGGTATGAGGCTTAGCTGATTTAGAGTGTAGGGATTGTACTGTCATCCTCCTCCTCCTCTTCCTCATCCTCCTGTGCCTGACTGTGACGATCATTAACATGCCAGATACTAGCTATCATAGCTAGCCACGCCAAGGTACCTTGGGTGCACGACCCCGAGGATGATTAAACTCTCAAACCCAAAATCTGAACACTATCGGCCCTTAGTCCCCGTTGCCATTTCTCCCTCTCGCATTGCCATGGAAGTAGAAGGGTTTAGGGTTGAGGGTTTGGGGAGGGTTCAGGATTTAGAGTTTAGAGTTTGGGAGGGGCTCAGGTTTAGTCTTTGGGGTTTGGTGAGGGTTCAGGATTCAGGGTTCAAGGTTTACCTATAGTCTCCAATGCAGTTCCTTTTTTTGGTTAGACCAATTTTGTAGTTGGGGTCCTGAGGTTACCCAAACCGGAACTGCAATGGAGACTATAGGTACATCAGAAACCCTAAATGACCCCTGGTATAAGCCTGAAAAGACCCTACAAATTCTGGCAAGAAGCTCCAAAGACCTACACAAACCCGCATAAAAGAGAACAACACGTTTCAGTGCAGGGGCATTCACTTCGTTTGGGGCTAGGGCTAGGGTTGGCTTAGCTTTTTTGTGCGGAAGAGACTGTAAGCCCTGGAAACCCTAAACACGTGTTTAGGGTGTAGGTAGGCTCGGAGTTAAGGATCACGATTATAGGGACCCAACATGAGCCAACGACTCGAAACACCCAGAAACCACACGATAGTAGGATAGTTTGGCCCAAAACCTAAGCGTCCATGTACCTCTTTCATATCTACTTAGGCCTTAAAGGAATCCCGCGAAAATAGGTACGTTGCGGCCAAAACTCGTCCTACATATGGATACCTGGACTCTGAAAGGTTTATTACCCAATAGACTGAAGGGAATGAGGCCTTCAAGACCTTAGTGCATGGGTTTGGGTTTGTGTCTTTTCCGCTAACCCAGAGGGTCCAGGTACTCCCTATTGTAGGACTTTAGGGCCTTTTGAGGTACCAAAAACCATAAATAAGGACTACTTGGACCCGTAGGGTAAGGGTTGGGCTGTCAGAAGTTCTAGGATACCCAGTAACCTAAGAATAAAAAGGCCTCTCTTTTTGGTATTGGGTAACTTTATAAGGAACCTAGGACTACAAAAAAGGAATAAGGGTACTACTGGGCATCCTAGAGTTGTCTCCAAGCGGCAGGCCCGCGATGCACTGCAGAAAAGTCAGCAAGCAAAATGTCCAGAAGAGCATGTCGACACTAGCCGACAGGCACTTGATCAACAGCCTGAGCTACTGATTCAAGATCTTGTTTCAGCACGGTCCAGCAAGGGTTTAGGAAACAAGGCTTAAGTTCGGTTTCGGCGAAAGGAGCCACCCCCCCCCAAGGTTCGATGAACCTATAGCGACTACAAAGTTCCCTAACCCCAACCCTTCTTATGCTTGGGGGGGTGCCATAACACAAACTTGAAATAAAAGCCTAAAGTAGTCAGTAACGATATCCCCTTATAACCCCAGCATGGGTTTGCGCTTTCATACTTCCAAACCCTGTTCCGACTACTAAAGCCTGTGCATTCCCCAAGAAAGGGCTTCCGTGCCTAAACCCACCCCATAATTAATAATTACCCTGAGACCTCAGTCCTAAACACTAAACCACTAAACCAAGAACGATAAACCTTAACTTTCAACCACATCAACCCGAAGCGCTCAAGTGTAGTGATGATGCGCGGCTGAACCTTTATTGGCCTACGGGCAGGTTCATGGGACTTAGTATCAGTTGGAGGTTACGAATAACTATGCTATAAGCATGGTTACTCACCTCGTTAACCCGAGTTACTAACATCCTAGATCCTTCAAGTAAGGTGCCTTGTGGCCATGTGCCTCCAAATTTACATATGTATATCGATAGATCCACCGATAAATGGAGAGCCACTTGTCTGACAAAAACCCGCTGCAAATGTCCTCACAGGCCTGTAGGCTTCCCTCTCGGGCCCTGTTAATATCAATTGTTGCCACCCCTAGAAGAATGCCCAAGTCATTCACTCGCGCACACACACAAACAAAGCCCTATGCACTATGTAAGTCAAGGCGCTGCAAAGACTGAAGAACATTGGACATCGTCACCATGCGGAAGGTACGGGCCAGTTTACCGATTCGCAAAAGCCGGAACAACATCGGATTGACGGGCACGCCGGAGTACAAAAAGACCTGAGAACAGGGGTGTAGGGTTTTGGGCGTACCAGCACCCCCGAACTACCCCCTATCATACCCTCAATACCCACTAGTAAGGACCATAAGGGCTCTATTAAAGGGTACTTGGCGGCGGGGTCGGGGGGGGGGGGGGGGGCTGGTAGGGTTTTGGGCATGGCGTTCTGGAGGCTAGCAGCCGGACAACCAGAAACCACCCAACCCAACCGCGATAACCCTAATATAGGGGCCTTAGTAGTTAGAATAGGGTTTTTGGGGTACATTACACTAGAATTACGATAGGGGGCCCCCCAAAATAGTGTAGGCACGCATTTAGGCCCCTATGGTAGGCCCCAGGCCTTAAACTGGCCCGAAACCACAAACAACAAACTCGGTTTAGGGTCGAGAGTTTAGGGTTTAGGCAAGGACGGTTTGGAGTTTAGGGTTTAGGCAGTGCAGAAGCTTTGATCTTCCTAAGATCGGAAACCTCTCTCAACCCCAAGGGCTGTCGATCAAGAAATCCAGCTTGAAGTTCTCAACCTAAACCCTTGAGTGAAACCCTCCAGCACGACCTGCAGCACCCATATTTACACCCCATGACCATCCCAATGACAATCCCTGCAGTCTACACATCCCCCTATCCTCTTAGAATCTTCGGGGTTGTTGCTTTGGGGCCCCCAAAGTTTCCTGGGTGCCAACGAGTCTTCTCGACCCACACCTCGGTGAACGACTTTTGACCCTAAACCCTGTGCTCCTTAGTATGCTTCCTATCCGCACCTCGAAGGCGGAAGTGATGACCACGGCCACGTCAATGTAATTCATGCACTGCTTCCTCAGCATTCAGGGGCTTTAGGTCTTAAAACTTAGTCTCTGGAGTATAGGATAAACATGGACCCTACAAAACCTAGCTTTTCAGGTAGGGCTCCCTATCACGATTGCCTTTATAAGTCCGTCGAAAAGGGGTGATACACAGGGTCCAGGTAGAGTTGAAGCTGTGGGGTTTAGGGAATAAACTAGAAACCCTAAACACCGAACCCACTTTTTGTTGCAACCGGGCTTGGGGACTAGCCAGATCCTTGCCCCACGGCCTTGCGTGTTCACCCAGCTCCGTGCAGATACCCCTAAACCCCAGAGCTTAAACCCCTAAAACCCCGTGAACCCCAAATTGTTCATGGTTTCAGGATTTCGGGCTTCTAGGGCCGCTTGTGATGCCAAACCGCATGATAAGAGTACCGTAGCCGCCCCCACCAACACCTTCTTTTTTTGGGCTCCCTATCGCGACTTCTTGTGTACGTCCTTAGAATGGTAGGTTATTTGGGTTAAGGACAGGATTGGCTCAGGATCAGCAGGGCTGCACGGCATGAAGTGCCCGCACTCGGAAGGCTCATCGGCTGTAAACGCTCAGAGTTATCGGATATGTGGGTTGCAGGGTTTATGGCTTTCTACGGCTTACGGTATAAAGCTTATCGTAGATAGTACAGAGTACACGCACTGAAGGCCTCTCGGGTACACCCTGATGTATTCTTGGATGTTGTAGGGGTCCAGGGTGCGGTGATAGCTTCTGCAGACTTCCGGTTTCGATCTGGGGACAAGCTTTCAAAGTTCGCAGAAGCCCATATTTATTTAGAGCCTACCTCATCTCGAACATATTCTGCCGCCGCGGCGGTATATTGTAAAATCTGCGTAATCTTCACCCCTTTTACACCTGGACTTGAGGAATGCCAGCACCCCACTGAGCGCAGAACCGAGGACTCTGCCCAGGTGCCAGCACAGCCCTAAACCCTAAACCCTAAACCGGACTCGTGAACAAGCTCACCCTGACTCAGTCAAGGCCTGCAAATCGAGAGTACTTACCTAGCCATTCACTAAACCCTTGAACCCTAAACCCTTAACACACTAATAATTTGGGGTCTTTATAATTAGAATAGTGTTTTGGGTCCAATCAAACAATATTACCCTAAACTTAAACCTCTAAACCCTTAACCCCTAAACCCCTAACCCTGCCCTGCTACAAAACTCTTGCAGCAAGTGGCCAGAAGGTAAAGCCCAGCAAGGCGACGCGAACGATGACATCCTGGGCTCTTGCTCCGGAGCATACCTATAGAGGCCTTAACAATTAGGATAGGGTTCCTTCAAGGGTTCCTTTGAAAAGGGGGTCTATAAGGATTCTAAGGGATCTAACGGGGGCTTTAATATAGGGGCCTTAACAATTAGAATAGGGTTTTGGGGCTCTTTATGCTAGAATTATAACAAGGAGCCCACCGAAAATGGTATAGGTACTCATTTAGCCCCTAAATTAATGTAAGCTTCCATGGCACGATACTGTGAAACCCGGGTTTAGGCTTATAAAATCATAACACAATATTTTGAAATGTGGGAGGCTTATAACATCGATACAAATGATCTTCCATCAAGACCCAGCATCGATCGCAAACACCGCGGTAAAGATGATGTCGCCGTACGTGAACAGCTGCTCCTGGCAGCGACAGAAAGCAGAGGTTCGGGGTTTTGGGAGCTCCGTTTCACGCATCCCTCAACATCTCGAATGACTCCAAGCCTCCACCGGTGACATCTAACATTTGGATATCGGAACCCAACCCCAAACCCCAACAGCCCAAACCATACACACCTGAGCTTCACCCCAAACCCTGAACGCCTTAAACCAACAAATCCCAAAGCCCGAAACAAGCTCAAACCAGGCCCTGCAACTGAGTAAAACCCCGAGGTCCATCACGGCAAAGGTTTCCGGAGACATGAGCGGCTCTTTGTAAACACCGATCCTGACAGATTGAACTTCGGGGCTTAGGGTTTCCGGGTGAAGGCATCCGGGGCTTAGGGCTTCATAAGGCGACAGGGGTTACTTAGAGGTTCATGGGACTGATTAACTACAGTTATAATTAAGGTAACTATACTTATAACTAGTTATACGCCCAGTAAGGTACTTATAACTGTAGTTACTGTTGTTGTTACTAAGTCCCGTGAACCTCCAAGTAAGGTGCAAGGTCTGCAGTTCCAGGTTTTCGGGGTGTGGGGGGTAAAGGGCTTGAGGCTTAGGCTTGCTTCGATTGGAGTTTGGGACTTTTTGCATGAGGGGTTGGAATACCGCAGAAGTTCATTCGACTATTTCTCAAGTTCCCGCATGATTGCTAATCATACTGTAACTAACCCCTACACCCTAAACACTAAACCCTAAACCTATAACATGCCCCCCAGATGCTTTAGGGTTCTTGGGCTCCTCCCTGAGGAGCTGTTTGTGTAAGCCCGAGGCTGGGCAGTTCATGCGCCAGGCGAACTAACGCTAAAGTGTCCTGTGTACCTATGGAGTATGTAAAAGCATATTTGCATACATACATACATACATACACACCATTGCTTCGTGAGTTGGCACTTCGAGCTTCCAGTAGCCTGTTGCTACTGCTGAGCCGACGACTGCTGCTGCTGCTGCCACTACCACTACCACTACCACTACCACTACCACTACCACTACCACTACCACTACCACTACCACTACCACTACCACTACCACTACCACTACGACGACTACTACTACCACCACTACTACTACTACTACTACTGCTACTACTACCACTACCAGCTTTGGATAACAGTACAGCTTGCTAGTGAAACCGTAAACTGCCGACACCGAAAGCAACTGGCCTTAAACCCTAAAAGCATCTAAATCCCTCAACCTTAGCCCCAAACTCCTAGGTGCCAGTTGGCCACGAGCGCCGCTGCCGAGGCGCCCGTAGGCCGTGCGAGAGCCATGCACTTGGAGCTCCAAAGCCATCCACAACACGTTGACCAACAACCTGGAGGCTAGGGTTTAGGGTTTAGGGTTTGGGCCTCTAAGGGTTCCTCTAAAGGTTCGTCTGAGGGCTGTTCCTTTGAACGTTTCTTTGCGGGTTCCCTTAAGCACTTCTGTGAGGGCGTGCGTAAAGGTTCCTCTCAAGGTTTCTTTATGGCGCTCGCGGTTCGATATTCTGGCTTAATTATAGAGCTTGGGCCATGCAAAGGCTTGCCGGGGTTAGGAATTGGGAGTTTAAGGTTGCGGGCGGGCTTCGACGGGGCGGACTAGCTACCTCGCTGAAACAAGCCACTGTTTTGGGCAGCTTCTTCATGCGTACCGCAATTAAGGAAGTCTGGTTGCAAGCGTGCCTAGCCCGAATAATGTGGCAGCCCGAATAATAAGGGCCCCCCCCAAACAAAAGTTGCGGCTCAATTAATCTGGAACCAGTGACCCAGGACTGGGGTCAGAGTCTCGATGGCAGGGAATTGTTTGGGTGCAGGGTCTGCGGTTCTGCACGAATGTGCGGTCGGGGTCTGTGGATCACCAGATGCTGGAAACCAAGCCCCGATCACTCCAAGAAAACTACCAAAACTAAAAACCCTTCATTTTGAACACCTTTGCCTCCAACCTACACTCCCCCCCTCCACAATCGACCACGTCTGAGGCTTGGTGCGGTACAGCAGTAGTACAGCAGTAGTAGAGTAGTAGTACAGTAACAGTACAGTAATAGTACAGTAGTCGCACAGTAGTACAGTAGTAATACCGTAGTACTACCGTAGTTGTACAGTAGTAGTACAGTAGTAGTACAGAAGAAGTACAATAGTACTACAGTAGGAAAATAGTAGTACAGTAGCGTACAGTAGTAGTACAGTCGTAGTGCAGTAGAAGTACAATAATAGTACAGTGTTACAATCGTAGTACAGTAGTAGTAGTAGTAGTAGTAGTAGTAGTAGTAGTAGTAGTAGTAGTAGTAGTAGTAGTAGTAGTAGTAGTAGTAGTAGTAGTAGTAGTAGTAGTAGTAGTAGTAGTAGTAGTAGTGTAGTAGTACAGTAGGAACAAAGTAGTAGTACAGTAGAAGTACAATAGTAGTACAGTAGCATAATAGTGGTACAGTAGTAGAACAGTAGTAGTACAGTAGCAGTACAGTGGTAGTACAGCAGTAGTAGTAGTAGTACAGCGGTAATACAATAGTAGTACAGTAGTAGCACAGTCGTAGTAAGGAGTACCTGGAGCTGTTTACCAGGGTTTGGGGATCACCAAAACCTGGAAACCAAAACCCCGATCACTCCAAGATAACTACCAAGACTAAAAACCCTTCAATTCGAAAACTTTTGCCTCCAACCTACACTCCCGTCCACAATCGAGCACGTCTGAACCCTTTTGTCTACAGTTGTAGTACCGCAGTATAGTACAGTAGTAGTACAGTAGTACAGTAGTCGTACAAGAGTAGTACAGCAGTAGAATAGTAGTGCAGCAGTAGTACAGTAGTAGTACAGTAATACTATAGTAATAGTACAGCAATAGTACAGAGAGCACACTCCCCCAATAAGCAGGCATAAAGCAGTGAGCACATTCCCCGAATAAGCAAAGCATAAAGCCAGCACCTGAGCAGCCCCCCAAATAAGCAAAGCATAAAGCCAGTGAGCACATTCCCCCAGTAAGCAAAGCATAAAGCCACCTCCAGCCCCCCCAGGTCGTGGTTGTAAGATTGACCATCAGCAGACAGTCACCCCCAAAAAATTCCCACCCCCCCCGCAACCAAAACGCATTAATTACACCGCCGAATCTTTTGGTGCCGGCTCGAATTAGCCGGCCGAAAACGCATTAAAGGGGCCCATATTCCAATTCGGGCCGCCACATTATATGGGAATTGATGCAATAGCCGCGATCCAGGCCGGATACCTCTAGCCCAGGCAATTGCAGTGACGCCGACAGGATTCTGCTAAAAATAGGGCTTGGGGGTACTTTAGGAACCACACTGCAAGGAAACCTATGCCTAGCAATCGGGCTTCTTCATTGCTCGGATTCAAATCCAAAAGCGGCAAGGCCCGAAACCTCGAGGACTTCAAGCGCCAAACCCTCAAGACTTTCTGCTCCCAAACCTACTAATCCCAAAAAAACCCCATAGGCCCTGAACCCTGAACACTTGTCAGCAGACTGAGATGGCGGTCAGCCCCATGCAACTCTCACCCCCTCTGGAAACCCTGAACCCTAAACCCTCAGCTCATAAACCCGAATCCTAAAGCCAAATGGCGGTTGATGAAAATTGTGGGCCCCTGTTGGTCCCCTGCATAGACTATAATAATACGGAATGTGCTACAACTATCCTACAGACCCTTGAAGGGCCCATAATTCTGATCAACCCCCAAATGACACGAGAGTCGCTACCGACAGCCCCTAGAGCTTCAGCCGTAACTCGGGGCCCCAAACAAAAACCGGAAATCCTAAACCCTAAACACTAAAGGCCTCGAGACCTTAAGGGTTCTATCAGAGTTCCTTAAAGGGAACCCCCGTTTTCGCTGAGGGGTTTGGGCCCTAAAGGCCCAAAAGCAACAACAACACAGGCGGCCTTCATGTTTAGAGTAGAGCTTCCTTCAAAGGGTTCTCGGGCAAGTCTTGAGGTGTTTTAGTATTAGTAAAGGATTTTTTTACAATAGAAGGCCAAAAAGCAGAACGGTGATGACGCCTTCGAAAGTCGTTGATTGCAGGGACTCTTGCCTCGGCTCTAGAGGTGTCCTTCAAAGCTACGGTAAGGGATCATAAAAGGGATCCTTTAAGAGATCCTTTAAGAGTATGATAAGAGTTTAGGGGGCAGGGTACTGTATGCTATAGGGCTTGCGAGGCTTCAGGGATTTAGGGCTATCGGGTTTTGGACTTTGGGGCGTTCAGGGTTCCAAGGCTTCAGGGCGTTGCCGCGGCTCAAGGGCTATGGCTTGGGGTGAGGCTTGAAGTCTTGAGGGTGGTAGGTGTTAGGTACGGTTGATGATATAAATCCTGCACTACCTTAAGGACCCTAAACTACAGAAATTAGGGCATATTCCTCATTATGGGTAATGCAGTGGTACTTAGAGGTTCATGGGACTTAGTAAGTAAGGTTATAAGTACTTAAATTGGGATTATAAGTAATTATAACTATGGTTACCCTAGCTATAACCCTAGTTACTAAGTCCCATGATCCTCTAAGCAGTTGTTAGGTACTGTTGACGGACAAATTCTGCATTACCCATAGTCGTCATAGTTTAGAGTCATGCAGGATTTTGTCCATCAACAGCAGGTGTTAGTTATGGCTTTAGTGTGTCAAGGCTTCAGGGCTTCTTCGGGAGTTTAGGGTGCTGGAGCTGTTGGAGTTTCGGAGCTTCAGGGCGGGTCTAGGGCTTCGGGCTGTTGGGGGTTGACTTCGAGGTTTACGGGTTTAGGGCTTAAGGGTTTAGGGGTTTAGCAGTTTAGGGCTGGGTAAGTGGAACTTACACCTAAACCCTTTTTTGCTACTGGACTCAAGTCTAGCCAGTCTACGACCCACAATCGTCTTGTACACGTAAACCCTGAACCCTGAACCTGTTCCGGCCTACCTGGACCCCCAATATGTAGAATAATAGCCTTGAGTGGGTATTAGGCCATTATTTTACCTACTTCGGGGGGTTCCGGCCTAAACCCTAAATCGAAGACTCGCTGCAGCTTTTCGAAACGACTGGAGCTCTTCGCGCTGATGACCGGGTCCTCCTCCTGCAGGAAGTAAGGTATGGATTAATTAAGGCTTGGGGTGTAGGTTTAGGGTTTTAGATGGTTGGAGATTACGGATTTAAGCTTGCATGCTTGTCATGGTTTCGACTCAGTTTCTATTCTTTGAGAGCTAACATCTAAAATGTGGGGTAAAACTTGGATCTACAAAGTGTGGACATCGTAAGGGTAAAAGGAGGGACCCTTAATAAGGACCCCTAGGTATA